TTTAGTCGAGCCTTTAGATCACATCAAACAACGCTAAAAATACGAATTGCGCATCGATTCAAGCCTAATGAACTTTAGAACTTCAAACTTCTACATCCGACGCCGAAACCTATCAAATCAAGTCTGATTGACCTCAAATTTTGTACACAAGTCATAATTGACATTACGGACCTACTCCAACTTTCAGAATCGAAATCCAACCCGGATATCAAAAGGTCCACTCCCAGTCAAACTTTTCAAAATTTATCCAATTTTTCAACTTTCGCCAATTGACGCTAAAATGACCTACGGACCTCCAATTCAACATCCTAACACTCTCCTAAGACCAAAATCACCCTACGGAGCTATGAGAACTGTCGAAAATCTATTTTGGAGTCGTCTTCACATAATTCAACCTACGGTCGATTCCTACGACTTAAACTTCCATTTTAGGGATTGTGTCCCACAACACTCCGAAACCAAAAATAAATCCTCCTGGCAAGTTACGTAACCACAAAATGAAATAAAGGGAGCAATAAATAGAGATTCGGGGCTACTATTCTCAAGACGACCGATCGGGTCATTACAATACAATTATTGCAAAAAAGTCTCAAAAATTAAAGTGAAGCTCAAACTTTTCGATCTTTTTTTATCTGTTGTGCTTTAGAACGTTTTCTATAAATAAAAGTAGACAACGTTATGTGACAACCAAAAGTTGTTGTTTTTTTTTTTCTTCTCAAAAAGTACTTTTTCCCCCAACTTCACGTGTTTGGCCAAGCTTTGGGGAAGGTGTTTTTGGGAATTAAGAAGTAGAAACAGAAGTATTTTTAGAAAAACAGAAAAAAGTAATTTATCCGAGAAGGCAGAAGCAGTTTTGATTTTTCTTCTTACCAAAAATATTCTTAGTAAAATATGATATATACCAAAATAACTTACTTATTTTAAACCTAACACTTAGAATTAGAGATTATATTATCGAACTCTCCTAATGTATAAATATTTTTATTTTATTTTTAGGATAACTTTCTAATATATGGTGACTTTTGGGATGAATGCTTTTATATTTGTTGAATTATTTTTTGATATATTTAAATCATCTCGAAAGAATTAAAGTACTTTTTAATTTCATGTTTTACTTAAATAAAAATGAAAAAACTTAATTATTATCTTTAATAATAAATAGTTGAGATTAATTATTTATTTATACAATATTAAGTATTAAGTAAATTTATTCATGTCCTTATTCATAATTTGATACTAAAAAGTACTTTTTAAAAATCTTGGCCAAACACAAATTATTGCTCCAAAGTATTTTTCAGATTAATTAGTCAAACACAAATTATTTCTTTACAAAAGTACTTATTTGAAAAACACTTTTAAAAAAAATATTTATCAAAATAAGCAGATTTAGAGTGACATACAAAAGTAAAAGACTAGTCAATTGGTTAGTTGTTTTTAGGTGAATTAGGTAAAAAGATCAAATCTTTTCTATTATAACCGTCCACATCAAGATTCACATCAAAATCTTGATGTGTTACCCCCCCCCTCCCTCCCCCCCGGGCTGTTACTGCATGGCATTTGCTTAATGCAGTCATGTTTTCAAATTTCGAAGGAAGAGAAATACTCCTTTGCAAGAGCTTTGAGGCGTTTCTTCACTACTAAATTCCGTTGAATATTAAAATATATTATTCTGATGTCTCATTTTCTCCCTCACCCAAACCAATTAATGATAAGTTAATTACCTTTGGAAATTTCTCTAAACAGGGGTCAAAACCATTTTCTAACATGACTTCAATTTGACAAATCAGGAAATATTTGTGAACATACATGAAAGGGCTGCATTCACCTGCCGTGTAGGTAAATTTTGCATGTCTATATTTACGCATGCTTCATGTCAATAAGTAAATGCACCACAGTAGAATACCATTTCGATAGTGTAAATAATTTTTACACCATCAGTTAATTTAACTTGTTACAATATATTATTATTTTATTTTTTAGGTTATCATATCAAACTTACAATCAAGATTTATATGTTGCTAAAAATCAACTAATCTAATGGTAAAATTTTTTTATACCCTCGCAATGCACATAATGTAAACTCTTTTCGCACGATAGGACATGCAAAAAGTAATTCTCATTCTTCCTACATGATCTTTCGATATATATTTCATCCAATTTCTTGAACAATGCAAATACACAACACATGTACTTTCATTTATTTTTCTCCAATCACTTTACTTTCAACAATCAGTTCGTACAATGATGAATATCACCATTGTTATGGGTGAAAGTGAATTTTCTATAGAAGTAAGCCCACAAGAGTCAATTCTTGAAACAAAACAAAAAATAGAAAACCTCTTAGGTGTGCCAGTGGCTTCCCAAAATCTCTCAGTTTTTGGATTTGAATTATTGGATGGACTATACATCCAAGGTTATCCAATAATTACTCAAGGTACAAAAATCCATCTAACTATATTCCAAAATAGTACTACTATTGCAGAAACATCCTTACAACAGATTGGAAAATTCCAAATTATTGTGAACATTTCAGCTAGAAAAATCAACATAGACATTGACAGGACTGAAACTGTCCGAAGCCTAAAAGAAAAAATTCACATAATTGATGGAACCCCAATAAGGAGAATGGCTCTTTACTTCTCTGGAAATGAATTAAACGATGATTATCGGAGTTTAATTGAATATGGGGTTCAAGAATTTTCAGAAATAATTGTATTTTTAAAGACTATGTCGCGAATGGTTACTGATCCACCTTCAAGAGGACTGAGTCTAGTGGTGCAAACTTCGTCTAGTTTGCTAAATGCAGCAAAAATTCCAGTGGAAATGAGTGATTTGGGTACTGTTAATAATTTGAGACAACTATTATTGGATCGAAAAATTCTGCCTATGGATGAATATATTTTCATACACAAACAAAGAATTATGAGGGATAGTTGTAGTCTTCGTTGGCATGGTGTTGAAAATGGGGATTTCGTCTATGTTTTTAAAGGGTCTGTTAGTAGGGAAGCATGTTGAGACAACAGCCTATGTTAATTAGTAACATAAAAAAGAATCACTATTTCCTGACTTTATATTTATGCCTATTAGTATATGGCTAATGATCTATGTCATTATGTTGAATGGTAACTTGTTTAAGTGTATTATTGGCATAATCTGTTCTTGTTAACAGATAGTAGTATCTTTTAGAATTAGTATTTGTCGTTTGTGTTTATCCTTTAGATTATATAGATATTAAAGTAACTTATAGATTAGAGTTATCATTTAGTTAGTTTTTACTGTGTTTAGATTTGAATAAGTCTCCTGAAACAAGTATAATCCAATCTCTTTAAGTGTTTATCTGTATGGCCATTTTATCAAAAAGTTTAAGCTATATATATTAAATGGCTAAATACATAGTTTACCCATCAACCTTTCAGCGAAATCTCTGTTACACACCTCTCTTTCACGAGAAACTTTTTACACACTCAACCTTTTAAAAGTGTGCCTAAGACACACTGCTTTTGACCAGATAACACTTGGGTGTTTACACACAAAAAAAGCACGTAAAACCCGTAAAAACTCATATTTTTTGTCTTCTTTCCCCACATGAACCCCTCCCCCTCCCTCTGGTCTTCTTCCTCAGACCACCCTCCCCCTCATCTTCTTCCCCAAATAGAATTTTTGAAAGAACATAAAATTTAAGATCTAAAATTGAGCGATTTTTGTTGGTTTATTGTCCAAATTTTGTGAAACCATTTATTTGTGATAGATTTAAAAGGTTTAACAGTAGTATTGAAGGTTTGGTAAAAAAAATCTAGAATCCACCATTGTTGGGGATTAAAAAAAGCTTGAAAATTCAATTGGGTCTTGTTGATTATTGGGTTGTTGAATTCAATTTGTTGCTCGATTATTTTCGACTAGTTGTTTAGATAGTGTGATTGAATTTTGATGTTGTTGAAAACTTTCTCACAAACAACTATGGTAGAAGCAACAATGGTGCTTAAGATAGAAAATGGGAAGATGAAGAAGATCAGTTTTAATTGTAATTTTTAATATTTTTTCCTTTTTAGAGTCAATGACATGTGTCACGACCTTATTAGGGCGTGACTTTCATGTTATCTAAAAAATTGATCAAGCACAAAAGTGGTGTGTCTTAGACACACTTTTGAAAGGTATGTAAAAGATTTTCCGTGAACGTGAGGTGTGTAACAGAGATTTCGCTGTAAGGTCGATGAGTAAATTATGTATTTTGCCTATATTAAATAGATAGTATTTCTTTAGAATTTTGTCTTTAACACATCCATTCATATGTAGGTCTTGTTCTTTTTCATGTGCCAAGCATGTAAAAATTCTTTTGGATAATGGACGCCGATGAGACTCGTAACAAGAACCTCATTTAAAAATTTAAGTTATTCAAGATAACACATTACTTACTAATTATGTCTTCAATATCACTATTACCAGAGGCTGATCCAGAATTTTAAGCTTATGAGTTCCTATATCAATCTCAAGTTAATCTGCATGATAACTGGACCAACGAACTGGGTTCCAAGTTAAATATTCTTATAATTTTAATGAATTTTTTAGTTCAAATACAAAATTTATGTAAAAGTTACTGGGTTTACGAGAACCCATAACGTTTGCTCTAGATCCGCCCCTGACTATTACCCCGTCATAAAAAAAATACTGTAGAAGGTATAAATGAAATTGTTATTAACCTATAATGATATCCAATAAATAAGGGGTATTAAGTTGTGTTTTAACTCGTCTTGTAAATCAAAAAGTTAAGTCAAAACAAAAATAATTTTGACATTGAGAACTAGTTAGCTAGTAGTAACGCTTTTTGTTTGGTGAAAATCTCCACAAAGAATTTCCAACTAACCCTTTGATTTTATGTATCCACCTACCCCAATTTATTGGACCACCACACACTTCTCTGTAACTACCATTCTTCTTATTTTTTGTCGTTTTTTATATTCACTGAACTCTCAGTCTCTTGCAAAATCAGAACCACCCACGAGGACCCCTTCTTTTAGATTCTTTTTGCTCTTCTATTTCTATATATACATAATGTACCTATTCAAGCTTGTTATTTCTACTCTTCTTTACTCCTCCATTTCTAGCTATTCTAATGGCAGATGAACAATCGAGCACATCAAATAATGCCTGCGTGGTCTCAGCTGGTAACTTTTCATAGTACTTGTTTTTCTAGCAAAAGCTCTTTCTCTTTCTGCTTGTCAGTTTATTTTAAGGAATTTAGAGCACAATTATAATAAGTACACTTTTCATTATCGTTTGAGAGGAGAGAGGTGCTAGCTCATAGCTCCATATTTGATATTTTCTCTGTTACACATTACATGGGAGGCGATGTTATTTTCTGGTTGGTTGATTTAAGCTTGGTGAGGCTAAGTTGTTGGGCAATGATTTGAATCATGATGTTTTGGAGAAAGTGAAATTGAATCAAGAGTGGCCGCGTACAATGCCCTCCAAGCAAAAGAGTTATGCTGATTGTAACAGCCCAGCACATTAGTGATATGCCCGCTTCGGCTTAGACGAGCACGGCTTTAAAATGCGTCACTATAATCTAAGGCTTGTTTGCTTATATACCCAACATTTCTTCCGTATTTTGTCGATGTGAGATTCATCTAGGGTGTCACATACACCCCCTTAGGGACTCAGCTCGCTGAGGTTTGCCGCACCATCGTTCAAGATTGCATGCGGAGTGGTTCTGATACCATATGTAACAGCCCAACCGGTTAGTGATATTGTCTGCTTTGGGACTAGACCCGCACGTCTTAAAAATACGTTATTAGGGTCCAAGACTTGTTTACTTATATATCCAATATCTCTCCCGTATTTTGTCGATGAAAGATTCGCCCGGAATGTTACAAGAAGGGTTGATGATGATTGATGTGGTTATCTTAATGATAATGTGTATGTTACCTTACCCGGCCCCTACCTTCAGAATTAGAGCTTTAGAAGCAACTTTATGATATAATTCCGTACATCAATGTAACTATACTTAAATGGCACAAATAACAAATATTTTCCTTTGCTAGACTTTTGGATTCCAAAATACTATATACTCTACATCCGCTTGTGAATATGACAAATGATATTTATGAATTCATGTTCTTTTGCATGTAGAGACCACCACCGAAGAAACCTCTAAACTTCAATTTTCAGAAGATGAGGAAATGCTCATTGCAAAAATGTTTAACTTGGTTGGGCAGCGGTACGTACATAATCTGAATCTCTCTGTGTGTTTTATGTTTTCTTCTTTTCTATAACTTGTAATTATTCCAATATTTAATTCTGTTCATTTTTTACGTTAATTAAAAATTATTATGGTTCCTTAGGTGGTCATTAATTGCTGGAAGAATCCCAGGAAGAACTCCTGAAGAAATTGAGAAGTACTGCAACTCGAGATACGTAATCCATAAGCCAGCAAAATGCTTGAAAATTTCCTCCTCCGTTAATGAAGAAAGACGGAAGTTTGAAAACAACCTCTCCTAATCTTGAAATTTTACATGCAAATTTAGAGGCGGATCTAGGATTTAAAGATGGCGGGTGCCATAAATTTCTTTAATATACACCTTCTAATGATTAATATAGAGATTGTTAGGAATGTATACTCGGTTCGGTTCCGTCTCTTTTGAGATTATTCGGGTCAACTTAATAGGCGTTTTTTATTTACACGGGTGAAAATTATATCTCAAATATCAAGACAAATGTAATTAGCATTTTATACCGAAATCATACCTTTATTATTAACAACACAAGTAAAATCAACACGTTCACTAGAAAAATTACTTTTTTTTTGGTATATTTAAAATAAGTTTGCGCAAGTAGAATAATATCTTCAATTTAATAATTACACCCATTAGAACAAGAAAAATAAAAAAAAAACATTTTCAATTGGTAAATTACCCCCTCATATATAAGTAAATCTAGAATTAGATGAAATATAAATTCTCACTAATCAAAATCATAAATTTCATGTTTTTTCTAAGCAATATTTACAAAATTTTATCATAATTTAATAGTAAGGAGATTTCCATTGAACTAGTTACAAATTTATTGAGACCCAAGTCTTTCGATTTTGAAAGAAGAAAACTCGTAAATTTGAGATTAAGAGAAATACTTATATTTATGGGATTTTAAAATTTTGGAGTCTCTATTTTGAATTCGCTAGAAGTCACAGAAAAACTAATAGAATCAAGAAAAGAGAAAATAAGAAAATAAGAAAAGAAAAAAAAGGAAATTGAGAGATAACTGAAAAGGGAAACGTATGATACAAAAGGAAATAAAAAGCACAAAAAAGGGAGCCAAATAAAGATTAACATAAATTTGAACTTGGGGCTTACACAAAAAAGCTTTCAAAGGTCTCTCAACCATGACACCTTTGTTTAGTTTGTGATTGCGGGTAGCAGGATCTTATATTTAACATAATTTAAGAAAATTCAACATAGGTATATACAATTTTATCAAACTAGCCGGTGCCAATGCAATCTAAGTTTCGTCTGGTTATTATGGTTTGTGGTTTAAGTTGTAGCATCACGTCAACTCAAATGTGACATTACTGTGTACAAGTAAAATCGAGCCCATGAGACGTCTCGATTTTTGATGAAGTAAACGGAGGAAGAGGCGTGACTGTAAGGGACCGGAATCGAGGCAACGAGCCCCTCGAGCCGGGGTCTGGGTAAAATGCCTGCCCTCGGGAGTATCGGAGCCACGACCCCATGATCAGTTCGAATCCAAAATATCTCGGAGATCATTACCAGATAATCGAGCATGACCAACAAAAGGCCGTGATATCCGTGACCAGTCGAATGTCACTGCGTGAATCTCGGCACGTATCGGCAAAAAATCGGTGATTAGTTAAACGAAAGATTTTTACCTTTTATGGAATTGCACTTAGGGTAAAACTCCCCTACTATATGAAGGGGGTCTGATTATTCATTAGGCACACTGTAACACGTATATCAAGGTAATATATTTTTATTTTCCGTGTTATTCAAAGTTCTTACTTTTGTTCATCAATTCTTCAATAATGTGAGCCTGGGATCGAAGGCAGTCATTTCATTAAGCTGTTACTAAGTCTGGGATCACTCCTCTTGATTGGTTTGACAATTTATTACCATCCTTTATCTGTTTAATCTAACGCAATTTATCATTTGTATTGAATTAACCCACGTATCCTTAAAATTACTTATAAATTTAATTATCCATTTTTTAGGGTAAACAATTTGACGCCCACCGTGGGGATAAGAATAATAGTGGCAATTTGATACAAATTTTCATAACACACACTATTTTACACTTGTTCTTTGAGCTTTTAATTTCAGGTCAAATTAAAAATATCGAACTCCCAATCTACCCATTTAAACGTGGATGCTGAGTCCGGCCGCCATGGCAAAAACAACAACGTGGTACCCAGCAACGAGGTGTCCCCTGCTGACCCCAACGGAGTCCCAGTCGCTGATCCAATCGATGCTAACTCACACGTGACTATCGAAGCAAACTTACCTAGTGACCCCGAAAACAGCATTCGCGAGGGAGCCCGGTTGATAGCCTGGAGTACACACGATGACGAAGGTGATGGGATCAACTTGCGTGTGATCTTCGAAATGTTATAGGCTCAACAGACAGCGATAGCCCAGTTGCAGAACCAAAGTCGAGCCCTCAGAAGAGTTGAGCCTGAATTGTCCGAGGAAAACGCTCGCAGAAATGAACCGGCCATAGCAAGGTCGGGTGAAGCAGAACCTGAGACCAACCCCGAGATAATAAAGATGCTTGAGTAACTGACAAAATGGGTAGAATCGGGAGAAAAGAAAATCGAAGCCAACGACAAACAAGTAGAGACCTATAACTCCAGGGTCGACCAAATCCCGGGAGTGCCACCGATACTGTTACACCCCATGTTTTTGTACATGAAAGTACGCCGTAAGTCAAGTGATGTAAGCTCAGAAATGAGATTCTATTTGAAAGTATATAAAGTGATCTAATGATATTACATCCCGTATTTTCGTTCAACATACAAACGACTAGGTTGAGGACGAATGCACTTAAATGTGAGAAAGGAGATTTTGGACAAATAAAAATGAGCTGCTTGCTTACCCGACATGCTTGCTTTACCAACTTACTTTTCGTCCTACTTGCTTGAGCTACTCGACACATGTCTAAATTATTTAATAAGGATGAGACACATGTTTCAAAATAGAAAATGGACCAACATGAATCACCTACTTGATTAAGTAGGTGACAAGTAGGTGCATCACTTACTTAGAGCTTGTGGATAAAATTAAAATGGAATGGAAAATGATAGAGATGGGCAAGTATTGGGGCAGCCCAAGACCCATCTTCCCAAGCCCATTAGTGGGGTCATATAAACATAGATATATCTCAATTTCACTTAGAAAACAATTCATAATCCCTCTCTCTCTATTGCAATGTGAAAGAGCCCAAAATATCATCCCAAGATCTCTCTCAAAGTTATCCTAGGGTTCAAGACCAAATCCACAAGTTGGTAAGGCGATTTCTCTTTTGGAAGATCGAGATCACCTAGTTATCTCTCTAGTTTGTTGTTTGGGGTAAAAAGCTTATTTGAGATTGAAGTAAAACTTAGTTGGATGAGTATTCTTGATGCCAAGGTAAGGTTTAACTTCTCCTATATGTATTTAAGATCATCTATGTATATCTAGTTGAT